AAAAAAAAAAAGAATGGAATTTTATGTGCCACAGAAAATGGCTGTTAATGTCTAATTTTCTAACAGCTATTATATCAATCAGCATTTATTAAACATCTACTGTATGCCAGGGCAGGTGTTAGGTAGGCACTGGGGTTACAAAGACAAAAGTCAACCAGTCCCAGTCTTGCAGGAATTTACCATGTACTGGATGAGGCAATAAATACATAATCAGTATATATAGGTGATCTGAGTCACTAGCAACTGAAAACAAACAGTAAAAGGCTTCATGTAGAAGGTGGCCTTGCAAAAGGTCTTGAGGGAAACTACGGATTCTAAGAGGAGGCCTTAAGAAGGAAATGAGTTACAGAAATGAGGGTCACAGCCAGTGCAAAGGCACAGAGGTGGAGTGTGTTATACGGAACATCTGTAAGGCCAGTTTGGTTACCAGGGGTGGGGAACCTTCAACCTTCAGGCCACAAGTGGCCCTCTAGGTTTTCAAGTTCGGCCCTTTGACTGAATCCAAACTTCACAGAACAAATCCCCTTAATAAAAGCATTTGTTCTGCAAAACTTGGACTCAGTCAAAACGCTGCACCCAAGGACCTAGACAGAACAATCCAGAGTATCCAAGGTGAAATGTGAGCATTACTGTTTTTTATTCACCTTGACACTTTCTTTCCAGGTTCCACAACTGAGTTGGATTTTAGGCTACCTCCAACTAATTTTATTACCCTGCAGCCAACCTGGTGACTAGCAACTTTAAACTTAAACTGGCTGTTCTTCAGATAACATACACTCTTCCAGGATGCTTCTGTGGAATTCTGAGCTTCAAAAACCTTGAGGCTCTAAGAGCAAATCAGCTGTTATAAGACAAACCCTTAAGAGAACCAAAGTTCATCACAACAATGAAGAATAAGACTTTAATGGAAGTTTTAAGCACAAGCAACTAAAAACTGAACATCCTGGCATCTCCATCTAGAGCTTGGGAGTATAAACTGCAGTTCCAGTGACCCGAATCCAGATTTTTTACTTAATCAAGTGTGAATGCTCCTACACTGTGGCTCCTCCACTCTCTAACCAACAAAGGGGATTTTATAGATGACACTTTAGTCAAACATTTTGAGAAGTCAGGATTACATATGAAAACCTTCTATAACTGTCTACATTACACGCAAAACAGCATTTGAATTTGCTTCTGCTTTTAAAGTTTTTAAAAAGTAATCGTACAAAATCAAACTTGAAAGATTTCAATTTTCTCTAAGGCCACATTTTCATTAGTTTAAGAGTATTACATGCCAAGTATCATTTCCTCTAACTGTCTCCCTAGAAATAGTTTTACTACAAGTGGAAATTTTATTTTTAAATCACAGAAGCATGGAATCAATAGAAAGAGTATTGACAAGCAAGGTAAGACAAGTTCTCTAGAATCAAGTGGTGTCAGGCTCAAAACAGAAACGGATCCCTGCGGGCAGCTGACTTAGAAAACTACAAATTAACATTATCTAAGTTGACCTGTACATTCATATTGTTACACATTTCCCCATTAGGTTTTAATGCTGGTGTGCTTTAGTGGTAGGGGAAGGCAGACGGTAAGCATTGACCCCTCTGGTAGATGCTCTCTCTACCACTACCTAGTTCTGTGGCCTTGGCCACCAGTAAATCCTTTGGTTATTAGTTTTCTCATCTTTAAAATGTGCAGGTGAGACTACAATTATATAGTTCTAAAATCCTTTACTTCTTCAATTCCTTTTTAGTGACTGAATGCCAAAGTATCTCCTACTCAGTAATCTCGTCAAAATTTCTAGTCTGGAGGTGGGGAAAGGGAAGGAAGAATAAAATAATAAAACTTATCAGAATGGAAAGAGAGATACTGGGGCAATTTTAACATAGTCTACTTAAGTTGTTGTTTCATTTTTTCCTTCTTCACCAGAAGTTTTCCCTATCAAGTGGAGAACTTTGCCATAATTATACAGATCTATCAGTGGCTTCTCTGTATTCGTGTTCACTATGTTTTAAATGACGTTAGGAAACAGCAGGGTGTAAGGTACTACTGCCTAACTCTTTAAATTTAAACCTCGTCTAACAACTAGAAAATATACCTCGTAAAAGCAACGGGGAGGGACTCTTGCCAGTGACCTCCCCGACACAAAACGCGATCTGCCTCCGGCCAGCTCGTCGCCACGCTGCGGGCGGCCCCAGCCAGGGGCACCCCGGCGATGGAAAGCGTCGTCCGCCCCGGGCTTTCCCTATCTACTCCGGGGCAGGCCGGACCCCCTGCCTCCCCGCTCCCGATCGCCCGGGCCCAATCGCATCCCGGCGCCGCCGCCGCCGCTGCCCCGGGGCTGGTCCCCGCGCGTGACGCGCTCGCTCAGCGGCATCCGGGCGAGCATCAGCGCGGCCCCCTCTCGGGGACCCCCACAAAGAGGTGTCCCCTACGCGAGAAGTTTCCAAAACTACCCCCGGGGCGCCGAGCAAACTTTCCCACCAAAGTTACGGGAATCCGCGTCCGCCCGAGCCCCGAGAGCCCCGCGACGCTCCAGCTCCGCTCGGGGGCTTCCGACGACCCAGAGCTCGGGGGAAGGGCCCCGCGGCTCCCTCGGGTGCCCGAGGCGCAGAGGCCGGGCACCGGCCTGAGGAGCCCCCCGCCTCCGCAGGGGAAGGGAAGGGGTCCGGGCGGGGGCCGCCGCCGCCGCCGCCCCGTTACTCGGAGCTCGGCAATGGCGCCCGCCGGGCCTCGGCCCCTTCCTGCCCTTCCGCGCCACTCACTGGCTGCGCCGCTTCATGTGACCAAACACCCCCCTCCCAGGTCCGGTCCGGTCCGGCCCGGTACCTTTGTGTCAGCCCGTCCGCTGGTTCGTTCGCAGCGGCCGCCGCCGAGCCCCCCAACGCTACCGCGGCCCGCCCCGCCCGACCCCGCCCCGCCGTCGCCGCCGCCGCGGCCCCGGGCTCACCTCAGGCTCCGCCGCCCCCCGCGCCCGCGCCCGCGCCCGCGACCTCCGCCT